AAAGAGTGAGGAAAAATGCTGGAAATTCACTGGAAAGGCTCTAGATTGAAGGTGGAAGTGTTTGGCTCTTGGATGTGTTTTAAAGTTTTTTGCAAAAATGAAGAGTCGCGACGCGGTATTTATAAAAAACAGTTTTCGCCACGGCGAAGTTCTTCATTTAGCTCAAAATTTTAACCCAATCGATGCCGCAGCGAAGAAAAATTCTTTGCCGCGGTGAAAATTTCCAGTGCCTACAGCGCCGTGGCAAAAAACACACTTTGCTGCGGCGAACTTCTCTTAGTTCAATTTTGCTTTACCCTTTCTATCGCGGCAAAGAAAATTGTTTCGCTACGGCGAAAAATTCCAAAGAGCACGTCGCCTTGGCGAGGAACAATCTTCGCTGCGGCGAAGTCTGGGACTTTTCCAATTCCTCTTCTTGCAAAAAAATGTATTTCGCCATGACTAAGAAAATCCTTCACCGCGGTGAGAACTGGAAAATTTTCCTTCTTTCGCCTTGATACGCCAATTCACCTGAAACACCCAAAAACACATGAAATCAAAATCATTCTAAATCATGAAACAACTAAACAAATTCAAACAGCAAACAAATGAAAACACTTGGGTTGCCTCCCAAGAAGCGCTTGTTTATAGTCGGAAGCTCGACTTTCTCAAGTCCTCATGTCGGGATGCAAGTTGGATGGGAAATGACTTGCAACTCATCACCCCATTAATGTATGCTTCAATCTATGTCCGTTGACCTTAAATGTGCTTTTTGCTTCATGTAACACCTCCACCACCCCGTATGGGTAAACTCTTGTAACTATGAAGGGTCTAGACCATCTAAACTTAAGTTTTCCAGGAAAAAGCCTAAGTCTAGAATTATACAACAAAACTTTCTGACCCAATTCAAAGTTCTTCTTCTTGATATGCTTGTCATGCCATTTCTTGGTCTTTTCCTTGTAAATCCGAGCATTCTCATACGCTTCATGATGGAACTCATCGAGTTCATTCAAATTCAACATCCTTTCCTCCCCAACAGCTCGTAAATCTATGTTTAGCTACTTGACTGCCCAGTATGCCTTATGCTCAAGTTCCACTAGCAAGTGACATGTCTTCCCATAAACTAATCTAAATGGAGACATACCAATTGTAGTCTTGAATGCAGTGCGGTATGCCCATAATGCATCATCTAACTTCCGTGACCAATCCTTCCTAGATGCATTGACTATCTTCTCTAAAATTCCCTTAAGTTCTCTGTTCGATAGTTCCACTTGCCCACTAGTTTGAGGGTGGTATGGTGTAGCCACTCTATGTTTCACTCCATATTTTCCCAACAGCGCATCTAACTGCCTATTGCAAAAATATGACCCACCATCACTGATGATTGCCTGTGGTACCCCAAATCTTGAGAAAATGTTCTTTCTCACAAAGTTAACAACCAACCTAGCATCATTCGATGGCAATGCAACTGCTTCCACCCATTTCGAAACATAGTCCACCGCTACCAAAATGTACATGTTTCCAAAAGAACTTGAGAAAGGACCCATGAAGTCAATTCCCCACACATCAAACAGCTCAACAACTAGGATATTATTCAATGACATCTCATCTCTCTTTGAAATATTTCCACTCCGTTGACATTAGTCACATTCCTGAACCATCCAAAAGGCATCCTTGAATAGGGTTGGCCAATAAAATCTAGATTGAAGGACCTTGGCTGCTGTCCTATTTCCTCCAAAATGGCCACCCACTTCCCTCTTGTGGCAATGCCATAGAATACTCTCCACTTCCTCTTCCGGGACACACCTACGTATCATTTGATTAGCACAATGTCTATACAGAAATGGCTCTTCCCAGAAATAATACTTCAAGTCTGAGAAAAGCTTCCTCTTTTGCTGGAAGGTCATGCCAATTGGGAGCACTCTCAATGACAAATAGTTTGCAATATCTGCATACCAAGGTGCTTCCTCAATTCTCATCAATTTCTCATCCGGAAAAGTTTCTTTGATTTGGGTTTCTTCTTCATTTCCCTGAATTCATCATTAAAATCAAAAGAAACATCCTTAATCAGTAAATTGCAAAGGGGTTTAAAGATTTTAGAGAAATCCTTAATAAACTGTTTGTAGAATCCCCCATGCCCTAAGAAACTCCAAACTGCCTTAACATTTGCAGGTGGTGGTAGCTTCTCAATCACTTCTGTTTTTGCTCAATCCACTTCTATGTCGTCCTTTGAAATTCTGTGACTGAGCACCATTCCTTCCTATACCATGAAGTGGCATTTCTCCCAGTTGAGCAGCAAGTTCATCTCTTGACATTGCTTCAAAACAAATGAAAGATTAGATAAGCAATTGTCAAAAGACGAACCAAAAACAGAGAAGTCATCCATGAAGACTTCTATAAACCGCTCCACCATGTCACCAAAGATCGACATCATGCATCTCTGAAATGTGGTTGGTGCATAACACAACGCGAAGGGCATCCTTCTGTAAGCAAATGTACCATAAGGACAAGTGAATGTCGTCTTCTCTTGATCTTCGGGAGCAATGGCAATCTGATTATATCCTGCAAAACCATCCAGGAAACAATAGTAAGCATGCCCTGCCAATCTCTCCAACATTTGATCAATGAAGGGAACTGGGAAATGATCTTCCTTGTCGCTTCATTCAACTTCCAGTAGTCAATGCACACTCTCCAACCCGTGACTGTCCTAGTTGGTATCAATTCATTGCTTTCATTTTTTATCACTGTGATAACCCTTTTCTTTGGAACCACTTGCATCGGGCTTACCCATGGACTATCAGAAATAAGATAAATTATACCCGCATCTAGAAGTTTCACCACTTCCTTTCTCACTACTTCCTTCATCAAAGGATTCAATCTCCGTTGTGGTTGTACCCTAGGCTTGACATCATCTTCCATAAGTATCTTATACATACAAAATGATGGAGAGATGCCTCTAATATCTGAAATAGTCCATCCAATTGCTGATCTATGTTCCCTTAACACCCGAATCAACTACTCTTCTTCCACTTTACTTAACCTTGAATTGATAATCACTAGAAAGGTTTTTGCTTCACCAAGATACACATATTTGAGGTGGGAAGGTAAAGGCTTCAGTTCAAGTTTTGGAAGTTCTTCATTTCTTTCCTTTTCCTTCTCTTTCTCAAAATCAAATTCGTCAAATTCTAGATCTTGGCTTTCATTAATTGGCTCAAGTGCTTCCAAATATCTAGCACACTCATTCTTTATCGGTTCATCTACCTCTATTGTTTTCGATTGGGCAATACATACTTCTAGAGGTAGTTGAGGGGTGTTCTCTTCAATAGCCTCTACCACTAGTTTATCCACCACATCTACACTAAAACACGAATCCGACTCTGATGGAAATTTCATGGCTTCAAAAACATTGAACGTTACTGTTTCATCTTGAACCCTTAATAGCAACTTCCCTTCTTGCACATCAATGAGGGCTCTTCCTATGGCAAAAAATGGTCAGCCCAAAATGAGAGGCATTTCCTTATCCTCTTCCATGTCCAACACAACAAAGTCCACCGGAAAGATAACTTTGTCCACTTTCACCAAATCATATTCCACTATACCCCTCAGATGCTTGATGGATCTATCTGCAAGCTGTAAAGATATGGTCGTGGGTTTCACTTCACCAATCCCTAATCTCCTAAAAACAGAAAAAGGCATTAGGTTTATGCTTGCACCTAAATCACATAAAACTTAATCAAAATTAATGTCTCCTATAACACAAGGAATAGTAAAACTCCTTGGATCTTTGAGTTTTGGGGGCAGCTTCTTCTGTAGAATGGCGCTGCACTCCTCTGTAAGCATCACGGTTTCCTCATCTTCTAACTTCCTTTTGTTTGATAAAATTTCATTGAGAAATTTTGCATAGCTCGACATCTGTTGCAATGCATCTGCAAAAGGAATGTTAATATGCAATTTTTTAAATATTTCAATGAATTTGGAAAACTGCTTATCTTGATTCTTCTTTCTAAGTAGCTGAGGAAAAGGCACAGGAGGAGTGTGATGTGCCAACTCTGGTGGTATCTCGGGGAATGGCAATTTCTCTTTCTTTTGTCTTTGCCTCTCTTCCCACTTTTGTTCATCTTCCTTAGAACTGGTTGGTTTCTCTTCAACAATTATTTCTTCGTCAACTTCCTCGTCGGAATCTTCCTTTTCTTTTGGTGGGCTTCCTTCTTTCCTTGATTGTTCCACCTCTTCCAAGACTATCCCACTCCGTAGTGTTATTGCATTTGCTTGTTCACGTGGGTTTGTCACTGTGTTACTTGGTAGGGAACCTTGTGGTCTCTCATTGAGTTTATCGGCCAATTGACCCATCCAGACCTCTAAGTTCCGAATGAACGCCCCTTGGTTTCTGAAATTTGTCCTTGTCTCATTCATAAAACCTATGATCTCTTGCATAAACTTTCCAAACATATCTTCCAGTTTTGTCAATCTTTGCTCTCCCGGTTGATTGTCCATCCCTGCTTGGTTGTTTGGCATCGTTCTTTGGTTCTATTGATTGTTCTGCTGATTCTGATTTCTCCAAGACAGGTTCAGATGATTCCTCCTCCCAGGATTATATGTGTTGGAGTACGGATTGTTTGATTGCCTCTGATTTCCTGCCAAGTGTTAACCTGTTCTGATGACGTTAAAGCAAATGTGTTCCCCACTTGGCATTCACAGCTCACATGACCACCTGCACAAAATTCACAAGTTAGTTCAGGAGCTTGAATAGAATTTACCTGCATACTCCCCAATTGTTTATGAAGTGCTATAAGTTGGGCTGAAATAGTCGTGTATGCATCAACTTCATGAAGACCCATAGATTTTTTCGATGCATCCTCTCATTCGGTCTTTAATAGTGGTTACTTGCCAAAACCTCAAGCAACTCATGAGCTTCTTTCGGTGTCTTATTTTGCAATGCTCCTCCCGATGCTGCATCCACCATGGTTTGCACATTAACCATCAATCTATTGTAAAACGTTTGGACTTGCATCCAAAATGGCAACCCATGGTGTGGACACCTCCTCAGTAGTTCCTTGTATCTTTCCCAAGCCTCATATAATGATTCAGACTCTTTTTGGAGAAACGATGTGATATCATTTCTCATATTTGTAGATTTTGTTGGAGGAAAGAATTTGGTTAGGAACTTCTATGCTAATTCATTCCATGTAGTGATCGTCCTTGGTGGTAGTGCCATTAAACACCCCTTTGCTTTGTCCCTCAATGAGAAAGGGAACAGTCTCAATATGATGGCGTCATCTGACACTCCGTTTGACTTGAAAGTATCACAAATCTCCAAAAAATTTGCAATATGCAGATTTGGATCTTCCTTCAAATCTCTCTTGAACTGTACCAACAGTTGGATCATCTGGATGATTGTCGGCTTTATTTCAAAAGTGTCAGCTTTATTTCAAAATTGTTGGCTTGTACAACTGGTCTAGTAATACTTGACCCACTGCCATCCACCGTGGGAACTGAGAATTCCCTTAGTGTTCTATTTTCTGTCATCTCAACAGCTATGGCCTCTCGTTCTCTTCTCTCTCTGTTAAGTCTTCTTACGGTTCTTTCAATCTCAAGATCTACAGGAACCACTGGTTGATGTCTCGCTCTTCGCATAAACTACATAGAACGAGAGAAAACGTGAGATCACTTGCTAATAGAAAGAAGAACAAAACTTAATTAATAAACAATTAAAACAAAAATAAAACTCCAATCTAGCTAACTCAAGAAAATTCAATGTTAACACAAAAATCAATCCCCGGCAACAACGCCAAAAACTTGATGCGTTGTTACTACAACATGCAAATATAGTAAGTGCACTAGTCGCACAAAGTAATAAAGTGATGAGTGAGTATAGTTCCCACGAGGATTGATTGATAAGCACTGATTTTCCTATTTGTTCTCAAGTTGGAGAAATCGAAAGTGTTTGGATTTATGGGAGAATCTAAAACTAAACTAAAAGAAAAATCTACTATGCAATTAAAAGACTAATTACTTAAAGCAAGATTAAAGCAAGATTAATATCAAGTAAAGCAAACGATTAGGGTTTTGACTTTATTAGGATCCTATGGATTAATTCTACAAATTATGCTACTTTTGCACTCACATACACGGATTGTAAATCGAATTCCCTAAGTTGTAAAACATACCTTCTCAGGCTATGAATTCCTAACGTTTCCCTATTAATCTTCTGTAACGCCCAACATGGAGGTACGTGATTTAAATTATGTTTTATAGCCCTTAGTTAATTTTTGTTAGAATTATTTTAAGAGAAGATGAAGAAAATGCCTTAAACTTGTATTAAGGGTAAAATAGTCTTTTCACTCAAATTAGTTAAAATTGTGGGGAGTGAAAAGAGCTAGAATTTCATAGAGAATATAATAAAAATAAGGGCATTATGGTAATTGACTAAGGGACAAGGATGGAATTTTGAAAAAAGTGTAAGGGCAAAATGGGAAAGCATATGTATAAAATAAGATGATAAGGGTTTGTAACCCTTATTTCCTTCATTCCATTGCCACTCTCTTCCTCTATTTTCTCTCAAATTTTCATTCACTTCTCCAAGGAATTTGAGGGCTTTTGAGTAGATTTTCATAGAGCTTTGATTCTAGGCGTCAAAAGGTAAGAATTCATGCTCTTTATCTATGATTTATTTGTGTAAAAGTTGAGTTCTTATGAAGTTTATGCTCAGGGTTAAGAGAAGATTTGGAATCCAACAAGAGTAGAGAGCTTAGGAGAGACTACTCAAGCATAAGGTAAGTAAATTCCACTCAAAATCCAACTCAAGTTAAAGAAAATCAAGTGAGTAGAGATTTCCTTTAAATATGTATATGTTATGATTATTGAGAAATTGAGATGAGATTGATGATTATTTATGCTTGTTGTTGGATATATTTGAATATGAGGAGTGTATGTGATGGTTTGATGATGGGTTGAAATTGGAAGAATTGGAGAAATCTTTTGGGAGTGTTTGTGCCGTGTAGGTATGGTGATGCTATAAGAGAGTTTTTCTCTCAATTTGGGTGGTTTAAGAAACCAATAGAATGATAATTAAATTAGGGTTTGTTCATGCACAATTATTGTTTGATGAAATGCCTAAGTGAAGTATGAGTTGGGTAGAAACCTTAATTTTATGCAACATTGCATATGTGCATTTCATAAGTGCATGTAAGTAAGAAATTTTAAGCATGAGCCATCCATATGCATATAATTGTGTATGTGTAGAAACTTAAGAAAGAATAAAGAATAAAGAATAAAGAATAAAACACTCTAAGAATAAAGAGAAAGGAAGAATAAGCATTAAAGAATTAAAGAGTGTTAAAGAAGAGAAAAGAATAGGTTGTTGTGATGGGGAACCGTGAGTGTTAAGAAGAAATTCCCACATACACGCCACCTTAATTGAGTGGCATAAGAAGAAGAAGAATTGTACAGCCCGTAAGAGTGTATGTGGATGAGGGTTGTACCGAGAAGAATTCCTGCATGCACGCCACCTTAATTGAGTGGCCTAAGAAGAAAGAAGAAGTTGTACGGTCTGCAAGAGTGCATGCAGATGAGGACTGTACTCACTCACACGGCCAAGGTTCCAAATCGATACATCAATCGAGTCCGATCAGCAAAGAATAAGAAAAGAAAGAATAAGAAAAGAAAGCATAAGAAAATAAAGAATAAGAAAAGAAAGAATAAGAAGAATGAGAAAGAATAAGAATAAGAAAAGAAAAACAAGAAAGAAAAGAAATAAAACAAGAAAATAGAAACAAGAAAGAAAAAGCATTTTATGCATTATTGCATATGCATTTTATTCATGCATATTGCCATGAATTTCATCATGGTTAGGAAGAATAAAAATAGTAAGAATAGAGAGAAGAAGAAAGAAAGAAAAGAACAGTGAGAGTTAGAAACAGAGAAAGAAAAGAGAATGAATTAAGGAAAGAACCCAAGAAGGAGAAGAGTTAAGGAATTTACTTACTGAGCATTTTTATGCTCACCCCATTGTTTTTCCATATTTTTGCAGGAAATAGGTGAGCAGCGGTCGGAAGGACGTCGACAAGCAGGGAGGATTGGCATTACTGTTCACTATCGCTAAGTTTGTGTTCTTGTTATTTTGATATATGTAAAGAATTATGTTTTGTAAGTAAAGAAAAATTTGGGCCCAACTATTTTCATATACTAATTATGTATGTTCTTATTGTATATGTCCTAAAGTATACTAGTAGAAAGCAGTTATTACATCTTCTACACCCAACAAATTGAAGATTAACAAATCCAAGTTCATTAAGCTAATGGAATCCTAAATTGATTTTATTGTTTCTCAAATCTATCTCTACCATTCAAAATAACAATGGTGATTACCCAAGAAGCTCAACATGATTCATTTCTCAATCTCATCATGTTCAACAAGTAAAATCAATAAAAATCAGAATAATCACACAATTTATGCAATAGAGTATAAAAGGAACAATAATCAATTGATTAATCCATAGAAATCCGAATTACATCAAAACCCTAACACAAAATGGGTTAGTTCATAACTAAATTAACACAAATAGCAAGAAAAACAGTAAACACAACAGTCAACATATTGAAATAAAGAGAAAAGAGTAGAGATCTCCCCTAATTGAAGAATCCATAAGATTAAAGCTCAAATCTTCTCTCCAAATGTAAAAGCTACTTTAAACCGAACGAAAACCAGACAACCCCCCACCAAAATGGCAAGGTTTTTCTTATATAGTTCGCCCAAAAACCTAAAACCTTTCCTAAAATAAAACTGTGCGTTTTGGATAAAACAAAATTTCGTAGACTTCGCCGCGGCGAAGAAAGAATTTCGCCACGACGACGAACTAAAGTGAACCTCTTGCCTAGCTTCTTTCGCCGCGGCCAAGAATAAACTTCACCACGGCAAACCTTCCTGGAACATTCTAAATTTACAGAATTGCCCTCCGCTTGCTTCCTTACTTGAATCTTCGATCTTCGATGCTTTCCCATGGGAACAAACTTCATAGTGCTTCAACTCTGCTTCAAAACTTTCCCAAATTCTAATATTCGCTTGCTTCTGGGTCCAGAAACTCCAATCCGCTCATTATTCGCTCAAAATACACGTTTTGGCCTGAAATAGAAAATATGTTAAATTAAGTAGCAATTCAGGCATAAACGAACTAAGAAGTATCCAAAATCTGGTTAAAAAGTCTAAATAAAATAGTATAATCCTCGGATTATCACATTGCATCTGCATTCTTCTTGTCTACGGCTGTACCATTTTCTTCCTCAACAACCAGCTACCGTGACAAGAACGAAAGCCATAAATTTTTCATAAAACAATCGTTTAGGGTGGAAAGGGAGATAGGAAGATCAAAATTTGTTCAGATTAGAAAGATTTGTTGAGGTTGTTAAGCGGTTTTTATTTAACTTATGCATTTATTTAGTTTTGTATTCTATTTTGGATTGAATATATGTTACAATAGAAAGTAACCGATAGAGAATATTTGTTGGTGATTGTTGTGAATCAGATTTGTGAACACGAACACTAGTATTGGTTTTGCATTAAATTACAGAATATGGAAGAGTCCAGTTTGCCTCATTTCAACGATGTTGAGGTAAATTGTGCTTGAACCTTAACTTTTTCGTTAACATGATTTTAAATTTATTGTATTGTATTGTTTCTTATGATGTGTTGTATTAGTACATTCTAATTTTGTCCATTATAAAACTATTAAATGATCAGGAAAATGAACGTGATGAATTAAAAGATATGGGATGTGCAGAGGAAGAAGTGGAGCCTCATATTGGAATGGTATTTGATTCAGTTGATAGTCTGGTGTAGTATTACAAATGGTATGGTAACAAAATGGGATTTGAAGCAATGATACGTATGTCAAAGAAAGGCGATGATGGAGAGATGAGATATGTGACAGTGGCATGTTCTTGTTCTGGGAATGAGAGATGTAAATCTAGAAATACCTTGAAAAAGCAACATGTTGCCAAAACAGATTGTAAGAGTCAGATTAGTGCAGCTTTGAATGGTGAATGCAAATGGGAAATTAAATTAGTTGCACTTGAACATAACCATGATCTTAGAAGTCCGACAAAAAGAAGATATTTCAAGGTTAACCGAAC